TTTTACCATTGAAACAGATGCTTCCAACACTGGGATTGGTGCTGTTTTACATCAAGATGGTAAGCCTATAGCCTTTACAAGCAAGGTTTTAGGTGCTCGAGCTCAGGCCATGTCTACCTACGAAAGGGAAATGCTAGCTATCGTCCATGCCATCAAGAAATGGCAGTCTTATATTCAGGGAACACACTTTATTATCAAAACTGATCATCACAGTTTGAAGTTCTTTTTACAGAATAGGGCACACACCCCGTTTCAGCAGAAATGGATCTCTAAACTCCTTGGTTTTGATTACGAAATCCAATATAAACAGGGTTGTGACAATGTGGCTGCTGATGCTCTGTCTCGCATGCATTCTGAGGTAGAATTACATGCCATTTCCTATCCTTATATGGGCTGGTTAGATGATATCCGAAGACATGGGGAACAAGATCCTTGGGTTGTCTCTAAGATTCAGGAATTGTTCTCTCCTGGTGCTACAACTTCCCATGATAAGTACCATTTTGACAATGGCTTCCTACGATACAAGGGACGAATTGTTTTGGGCCCATCGAGTTGCTGGAGGAATAAGGTTTTCTATGAACATCATTGCACTCCGGTGGCAGGACATTCTGGTTTTCTTAAGACCTACAAACGAATTTCCAGATCGTTTTATTGGCAAGGCATGAAATCCGACATTATGCAGTGGGTGGCAGCATGTCAAGTATGTCAACAAAATAAGAATGAGACCATTGCTTCTCCGGGGCTGCTCAATCCTCTCCCTATTCCTTCTACTGTTTGGACAGATATCGCCATGGATTTTATAGTGGGTCTTCCTCCTTGTAAGGGAAAAACTATTATCTTTGTGGTGGTCGATCGTCTTTCGAAGTATGCTCATTTTTTGCCAATGTCTCATCCCTACACTGCTCACTCAGTAGCTCAGTTATTTGTTGACCATATTTTCAAACTTCATGGAATGCCTTCAACAATTGTAAGTGATCGAGATCCTGTTTTTCTCAGCTCCTTTTGGAAGGAATTTTTTACACTACAAGGATCTCAGTTGTGTATGAGCTCCGGTTACCATCCTCAAACAGACGGTCAAACGGAGGTTACTAACAGAGGGTTGGAAACATATTTGAGATGTTTTTGTAGTCATCAACCAAAGAAATGGGTTCCATGGCTTCCTTGGGCGGAATGGCACTACAATACTACTTTCCACACCTCTTCAAAGCTTACACCTTATGAGGTTGTTTATGGTCAGCCTCCACCTACTGTGCCTACTTATGAATCAGGAGCAACAAAAATTGATTTGGTTGATCGGAGTTTACAAGAACGAAACAGAATTTTATCCCAGCTTAAAACTAATCTTGTTGCTGCCCAAGTACGCATGAAGCAGCAAGCGGACAAGCATCGCAGTGACAGATCTTTTGAAGTGGGTGATATGGTATTTCTCAGATTAGTACCTTATCAACATCAATCTCTTGCTAAGCATCCTTTTCACAAACTACAACCGAGGTTTTATGGGCCATTCAAAGTATTACAAAAGGTGGGATCAGTTGCTTACAAGATAGATTTGCCTGCAAATTCCAAACTTCATCCAGTTTTCCATGTGTCTTGCTTAAAAAAACAGTTGGGCACTGGTCTTATCCCTGCAACTCCTTTACCGGTGGTAACCGAGGACGGCATAGTGGAGGACTATCCCATGGCCATCTTACAACAACGGGTGGTCCGCACTGGTACTTCATCTCAAACTCAGGTCTTGGTGCAGTGGAAGCATCATTCCAAGGAAGATGCCACTTGGGAAGACTTTGCGGCATTCAAACAGAGATTTCCTACATTCCAACCTTGAGGACAAGGTTCGTTTTTAAGGGTGGGGTAATGATAGGATACTGTTGATAATACTTGTACAAGGTTGTGATAGGTTGATATTGTTGGTGACAAGTGTCTGGGAATCATTGATTGAATGTGTGGTTGTTAATTGATGATTAGTTAGGAAAATATCTTGTAACTACCCTAGCTTGCAATCTAGTATAAATACTAGATAATTGTGCACATGCAGGATTATGAATTGTAACAGAAGTTTGTTAGTAATACAAGAGGAAATATCAGCATATGAGTGAAGGTTAGAACAGGGGTTCTATTAGAATCACCATTCATATTCATGAATGTGAAGACCCCTTGGCCACGGAAGACGAATACCACATTAAAATCCTCATAAACCTTCATGCTGAGCAAAAGTCAATCCACTGGAAGAGAGCCGAAGAAGTGAAATGATCTCCGGCAAACCAATGTCACCCACCAAATGTAGTGTACAACTTGTCGCATGCATGCTCGGCCTAGCCGAGGGATCCAAGAGTAAGAGCACATGCCACCCTAGCTTCAACACCACTCCACCTCCTCGGTTACTAAATCTGTCTCCAAGTTTTGATCTTTCGCCTCGAGAATATTTACCTTTTCTGAGCTTCTAGGCTGATAACTTCAGCTTGATCACTGGAAGGCCTCAACATTACATCTACTCTTGCTCCATCGCTCAACGTTGCAACGGCAACAAGAGAGATGAGGTCTCTTTACCAGCAGCGGATCCAGGAATTGAACCTCGGGCGGTCCTAGTATAATAGATTCAAGGATTTTGTAGATGGAAATAGCGTGCAACAAAATCTTTTTTAAATAAAACATTTTGTCGAGCACTTTGTGTGTATATGGGCAACCTTGTTTTGTTCTTTATAGATTAAAAGCCTTGATAAAATATTCATGGTCAATTTTTTTTACAACTAGTAAATTGAAATGTCTATCTTGAGAACAAGGAAATTATAAGGTTTTTTTTTTCCCTAAGATACTAGTAACTCGAAGGGTTTTCTTTTTTTATGAGATATTAATAATTATGAGGTGAAGAGACACTAGTAATTTAAAAGGTTAAATAATAGGGTAATGCTACGGAGATTAAATTTTGTAAATGAAATGACATGGATGTTGACGATTGAGTTATTACTTAAGTGTTGATTAACGTATTTATTTCTTATTGATGACACATCATTTAGTTGCAAATTTTGTTTATAAACTTAGTCTACCTAGCATTACCCTAAAAAATATATTTAGCATTCAATATTTTGTAGGGCTAGAAAAAGGCCAAATGGCAAAACAAGGAGAGGATATAAAAGATTTTTTAAGACAGAAGATAGTGGGTCCAAATTAAGTAAAAAGAAAAAAAAAAGGACAGACAAAAGGGCAAAACGGCAACGTTTTAAAGACCAAAGCACGGTATACTAACATTACTAGGAGTAGGCACGGGCCAGACCCAAAATGAGAAGGACTGGATCGGACCAGTTTAATCATTGAATCATTGAATCATTGAATTATTGAATCATTGAATCATTGAATACAAATATTAACCTGGCTTATTTATTGATATGCCCCCAAAACAAAAAACCAAAGTCCAAAGGCTTGCTCTTTTCTCTTTTAATCAATTTGAACTTGGTCGCACACTAACTCGACCTACTTGTATGAAGTTCATTGCACTAGAAAAAGGTTGAAGCTACTTAATTTTGGGAAAGTGATTTCCGCATACTCATTTTTTCTTTATGCACAACTCTATTTATTTTTGACTTTTGGATTGAATAAACAAAAAAAGAGACGTAAATAAATAAGTGTGTGGAAAACGAGAATAACAATGATTGTTACTATGCTTGAAGAAACATAAATAAACCATAGAAGAAATGTAAATAAATAGGTGTGCGGAAAACTAGAAATTGAAGTACACACTCTAATCCGTTGAAAAGTGTCCGGTGTTTATTCAATCGGCCACTACTCATCATTTTCAAGGAGAAGCTCCACAACCTTACTCATGGCAGGCCTTGCTTTGCGATCTTCTTGTACACACGACATAGCGACTTTCATCAATCGTTTGAGCTTCGTGTTGAACTCATGGTGTAGCCGAGGGTCGATTACTTTCTCAAGCCCTTCTTCTCTGATCATTTCAGTCACCCAATGTACCAAGCGGTTGTATTCATTGTATTGGCCACCAGTTGAAAGGAAGCTAGAAGCACTTCTTCCACTCAGTAGTTCCAGCAGCACAACCCCATAGCTGTACACGTCCGCCTTCACATCAATTTTCAGGTTCATCATCCACTCTGGAGCCAAATAACCTCTGGTGCCACGCATTCATGAAAAGCCAATCCCATGACTGTCTCTGATGCCGTGGATATCTTTGAATAGCTTTGCCATGCCAAAATCTGCTACCCGAGGTTCCAAATGATCTGCTAACAGTATGTTTTGAGGCTTCACATCACAGTGAAGCACCCATTCTAGGCACTCCTCGTGTAAATATGACAAACCCTTTGCAGTGCCTAGTGCAATATTGTATCGCTTCTCCAATCCAAATTCCACATCCGAAAACAAGATTTTCTCCAAGGATCCGTTCTTCAGGTATTCGTAAACCATCAGTTTGTGATCATTCTCGGCACAGAAACCCCATAGTTTGACCAAGTTCCTGTGGTTCACATTCCCTATCACGCTCACCTCTGCCCAGAACTCTGCCTCTCCTTGCAAGACGCCTTCCAGTCTCTTCACCTCAACAACTCTTCCATCATCCAGTAGCCTTTATAGACAGTTCTGAAGCCCCCTTTCCCTATCTTCTGTTTGAAGTTACCGGTAGCTCTTGTTAGTTCTGCATAGGTGAAGCGTTTGAAGTCCATGGCCAATGCCATGTAACCGGCTATATTGGACAACTCCTCATGAGCATGCTTTCCGAAGAGATACCACCACGTCAAACCAACACAGAGTGCTTCAATTACTGCAAAAGAACCTACAAATCCAATTAGGTATTTCATGTACCAGTTTCTATTGCGCTCGGCTTCAGGATCGTTGCTGTTGAAAACAACTTGTGCACCTGAACAGTTCAAATCATGTGTTTCAAACTTCGTTGAGAACGCATGAGGGCTCAGAAATCCCTTTGGAACCTTAATATGTATGATCATGCGTGAAGTTGGTGAACGATATCCATTAAGGAGAAGAGATTTAGGGAAACACTATCCTTGTCCATCCAGTGCATATCCAAATCCTCTGCATCTTGTATCATTCAGGCAAGAATTGCTGCAGGCTTCAAATGAAATGCCAAACCTGTACGTCCCCAAGTCGTATCCATAGTAATCTGTGTAAGGAAGTTCCATGAAATCCAATTTGCTTGAATCGGTAGACAAATTGAACGAAGGTGAGCAGCCTTTAGACCAGTCTGAAGGATTGTTTCTGGTGAAACTGTAAGGGCAAGTACAAGTAGGATGTGGGTTGGAAATGCAAATACCATATTCACCACACAAGCCATCAACTTGGCAAGCTTTAACACTCCTCGACAACCATGAGATTTCCCAAAGCCCAGTTGATTCATCTAAACTGTACAATCTCAAAATGCCATCATAATCTATTGTTAAACGGCGCTTTGGGACAACTCCATAATCAGATGCGTTGAAATTCAAATTGTCATTGGATCTAAATTGTCCAGCCTCATTCAAAATTGCTATTCTAGAGCTATTATAAGGTGTTCTTTTGCTATAAAAAACAGTTGCATCTGTACTCGGCCAGTAAACACTCGAAATGATTGGACCATTATAGATGAGATAAAGGACGTTTGTGTCATCAAATTTGAGGTTGTAGTATCCAGATAAATATGTACCTTGGCTTCTCATGGACACCAACATTGTTTTCTTGACAATTCTTTGTGATTGCAAAACTGTATCCGTCGGAAAGTCAAAACTCTGCCATATGACCCCCTTTGATTGGTTGATCAGCACCAAGTTTCCGGTCTCAAGAAGCCGAGCCTCCACGCCTGCATTAGAGAAAGTACTGGTTGACCATACAGTTGAACCAACCCCATCAGTCAAGACAAGGTTCCCATCTTTGTGGAGGGTAAGCTTGGACCCTCGTACGCTAACAGGCTCATCTCTGTTAGCCATCCATGCAACTGTTTTATTGGTGGAATTGGTAAACCATATTGCATAGCAATAGGCATCAGTGCCCACCTTGTAAAATCCACTTGAGAAAGTTCCATTTGGTGAAACCAACAAGTCGCTTTCCTTCTCAACTGTTAAGGAGCTTCCTTCGCTTAAACTCGGAAGCCCCGGAAATTGCTGTTGCCTCCAAGCCACTGTGGCAGCAAACAAAAACAGAATAAGAAACTTGGGAAGTCCCATGGTTGGTTTGGGAAAAAAGCTTATGGCCTGTAGATGGTTTTAGGCCAATGCAGAACCTTCTTCAGATTTTATAGAAAAACCTAAACAAAATTCTTCTCTAAAGTTTTTTTAATGACTTTCATTCCATCAAACCACTACAAGCCTGTGAGATTCAATGATTCAGCCGCCACGCCTGATGCCTGGCGGCTCCATCAAATGCGCTTGGTAAATGGAAGGGATATGTTCCTTCCATTGTGTGGGATAAACCTTCAAATATGGATTAAGTAAAGAGCTGATGTTAATGGTTGTTATTTTTCTTTTGGTGAAAGATGTTGCAGGTTGTTGTCAACCCAGTTTCCATTTCTCTGGAGGAGTTCAATATCTTATGGTTGACTTAAAACGCAATTGAATTATGTAGAAACCCGCAATTTGCACATTCAAATGTAAGAAATATGATCCAACACGCAATTGGTTTTATACAAAACTAGAGATGGAATAGAATGTAGTTGAAGTAGACTTTCCAAAAGCAACTAAACAATCCAACAGAGGAATTCAACAACTTAGATCAAGTTTTTTATTTTAATTTCTAAACGTGCATCAATATTTAACAATAACGTTATTTAGACGCACAAACTAGTTGCATTGTTGGCACGCTCTCTATTGGAAGCGAGCTCTATCATTGTATTAGAAGGTGGTTCTAAAGAATTCTATGACTATTATGTGGGACTCACATGTATTAGAGAGTGTCAGTAACATGGTTAGTTTATGTGTCTAAATAGCATTACAGAAATGTTTTTGCTCAGAACTACATTAATCACCATTAGATGAGTTCAGATTTTGAAATTTACGTTGGAAATAGATCAAAGCAGTGGTAATACTCACCTCACTTTAAGACTTTAGGGTGGCGAGCATATGCACCATAGCATTACTCGTTGTTTTATTAAGAGTTTCCATAAACCTAGCAGCTACTTGTTTTAAAAATGCAAGCAGCCAGCTAAACCAAGATTATTAATTTCTAAACACGCATCAATTCTTTTGGTTAAGGAACGGATTAAACAAAAATATATGTAAAATCAACGGTTTAAGATAACGAAAATTTGAATAAACAAAGAACTTACATTTGGTGTGGAGACGGAGACTGCTCATTCTCAAATTTTTGGTTGTGGGCGGTCAAACACAACAAGTTGCTAGAATTGTTGGTAGCTGCTGTTTTGTTTTTCTTTTTTTTTTTTTCTACGGCGGTTCGATTTGGGGTTTTAAAGTGACAGAGAAAAAGAGCGCGCGATAAACAGAAGTCTTGTGACAATCTTTTTAAAAGATTTTTACATACTTTTTGTTGTCTACTTAGAAGTCTCATTTGGTGGACGAGGTGCATCGGCAACAAAAGGTTAGTAATGGGGATCCTTCAGGTTGGGTAAGACGTCCATTCGGGACTATGAAAGTGAATTGCGATGGTGCATGGTTAAAGGAATCCGGACGAGGAGGGTATGGATGGGTGGTACAATATTTCGCAGGTATTTTCACAGGAAGGGGGAGTGGGGAATTTCCCATGCGAATCTAGTCTAATGGCAGAGGCGGAATCGGTGTGGGCGGCTTTGTTGGCTTATATTGAGATGAGGTTTGATGCCGTTTAGATTGAATCAAATTCCGAAGGACTTGTGGATATGATTAATAACAAGGCTTAACCAAATGTTGCAATTGAAGCACTCCTTGATATCCAATATGTGAAGCAGCGGCTGAGGTTAATGGATGTCATTTTTGCTTCTCGTATTTGTAATATGGCAGCGCATCTAGTGGCAGCTTTCACCTTACGGGAGGGAGGCTCTTATGGATGAGACTATTTCGAGCTAAAGTGGTTGTTTAACACTTTGGCTTCTGATGTAAACATTTCAATTCGAATCTAATAAAATTATTTCCTTTGATAAAATTAAAAAAAAATGAAATGGAAATTTTGTTTTCAACTCGGAGATAGAAGATGAATATTCAAGAAGAGTTATCCAGTCCAATCCTTCCCAAAATGGAAGGATTAGAAGGGAGGAGTGTTTTTTAAGTTTAATCTTCTTAAAATGAAAAATCATTTCCTCTACTTTCAAAATACCTTTAAAGGGTTATCCTAATCCAATCCTTCATACAAAACGAGCCCCAGAGCTTTGTATATTTTTTGGCTGCTTGATGCAGTAGAATTTGAAACACTACAATACAACAAAAGGTTTATTATTGCGGTCTACCGATATTCTTCTTCATTTGTTAATAGAGGTCTTAATTCGAATCTCATAGATATTGAGTTCGAGCTAAATTATTATGAAGGAGCCATTGTGTGATTTAACTCAATTTAGCATCTCTTAATATAAATATATGGTTCTATTTAAAAACAAAAACAAAAAAAGGGAACCATAAAATTGGGCCGCCCATGGCCATATTCTTCGTCTTGTATGGTTGTATGTCGAACTGGCTAGAACTAATGGCCCAACTAATAAGGCATACCCAAACACCAAGAACAAAACCGAGCCCAAGACTTGGGTGCTTTGATTCCCAGAATGTCACTGACTCTTGAATGTTAGGCTGCAATTCTCAACCAATTTCCACTTTTGAATAAAACGAAAATGGCATCGTACATGATGAGTCCATATTATATTATATATTTTATCCTATTTTTAGTATTAGTTTATTGATTATTTTGGTAGAATTTTGATACTTTGTTATATATTTTCAATATAGGACATTCGAATTCCTCTGGAGGAAAAAGTGATCAAACGGATGAATTTTGGAGTGATTCCAATTGGAAGATGTTCGTGTGCCTTTCAAGATAATTGTGTCAAAATTCTACATTTTTGTACCAAGCCATTTGACCGTGACGATAAAATTAAGGCCCATCACACAGCTTTCTCAGATTGACGTTTCTGGACGTTTTGGGTATTTTAGAGGTCAAGATGCCATATTTTGCGGAAAATTCCTTCTGAGAATTTGTAGGGGACGTTTTCAGCTTTGAAAAGAGACCTTTTAGGACCAAATTCTGAGAAATCCGAATTTTAGTTTAAATAGGAAACCTTTTATTTTCTGTTTTACTATTTTATTATATTTCCTAGTTTTACTCTAAGACCTTTTCTAGGAAGGATTTTATTTTGTAGTAGTATAAATAAGGCTTTTTAGCCATTAGGTTAGAAGGGAGGAGAACGCAATACTTTGGCTTTGGAGAGCTTTTGACGATTCAAGTTTATTTTCAAAATGTTTTCTATCCATATTCTTAATAATATTTTGTTTTATGGTTGTTAGTAACTAGTTTCGTTTGCTAGGGCGATGCCTTGAGCCTTAGCATGAATATGTAGTTTTTATTTAATTGCTTATGCTATTATACATGCATACTTTGAATTATTAATCATTGTACTTTAAACTATCTATTTGTCTTAGTGATTGGTCACCATTAGGATACTTAGAAAAGTAATTTGATGCAATTTTGGCGGAAAGCCGTCCCTGGAATTGGCGTTGGCTTCTTGTGGTTAATATGTGTAACTTCTTAGGATGGACGACACGTCTTAAGGGTTATATGGTTTTTCAAAAGGTTTTCACAAAATTTAATGAGTCTTGCATGTTCACATTCGATCTGGACGCCATGGACGGGTTGCATGTTAGATATACGTTCTATGTTGGAGGTTCTAAGTAGGGCATACTTTAGAAAAACCTAACCTTCAAAATTTGCATATGTAATTCATAAGTAATTGAAAGAACTACGTAGAATTGTTAAGGTGACGGCGAAACCTAATGCTCAAATTTATTTTCAAAACTATTTTATTTTGTTTTCTTTACTTTCCCAATTTATTTAATTGTTTTTAATTAAATTCATTTTTAGGTCATAAAATCAACCTCTTCCAAACTTTGTTTTCAAATAATTAATTAAGATTTGGTTTTAACATAAATTATTCATTCAATTCCTATAGAAAACGACCTTGCTTGAGCTGCTATACTATGACAATCTTGTACTCTTGCAAATATTTTTAATTGTTTTTATCCCTACTTTTACAGATGGTAAAATCCCTATCAATACACTTGATTTAATACCTATTTTAGCAACTAGTAAACTGCAATTTGAGTACTTTTCAAACATGCATATATCCCACAAAAGAATTGCAGTTGTGATATCGGTAATGAGGTTTACTATATTGCAACATGTAGTGAAATGTATACTTCTAACACAAGCAACAGTAGCAGCAAGAACCTGCTGTTATAACTGTAATCAACAAAACTTAAAACCTTCTGTGGATGGTCATATCAACAGATGAGCAGAAGCAGTTAAGAACTTATACACAAGAACAAGTAGATCTAATCGCCAAAAACCGAACCGAGGAAAAGACTCCTGTTTAGCTTAAATCAGAATAAAATTTACTTGTCGTTCGGAGAATGTACATAAAACTCATCTGCACATATTCTGAAACTTTTAGATTTCAATGTGTAAAAATTGAATATGAGGTTTATAACAATATATTGCACCGAAACTCGAAACAAATTCTTAGCAAGCCAACATGGTGGAATCCTACTCTGATTACAATCTATTGGCAGCAACATTATTCTACAAACAAAAATAATATTTGGTATACTCTTCAGCCTCTGTTATTCTTGGATCTTCAATTGACCTTCACTCAATATTTTCAAGCAGAATCTCGACAACCTTACTCATGGCTGGCCTTGCATTGCGGTCCTCGTGAACACACAACAGGGCAACTTTCATCAATCTTTCGAGCTTCTTCAATTCGAATTCGGGCAGTAGTCTTGGGTCAATCACTTGCTTAAGCCCTTCCTTTTTTATCTTTTCAGTCACAAATTGAACCAGTTGGTTGCACTCATTGTACTCTTTGGCAAGCGCTGAAATGAGAATCGAAGCGCTCTTTCCACTCAGCAGTTCCAGCAAAATAATCCCATAGCTGTACACATCCGCCTTGGAATCAATGTTCAGGTTCATTATCCACTCTGGAGCCATATAACCTCTGGTGCCCCGCGCTTTCGAAAATCCCATCCCTTGCATGTCTTTGATGCCATGGATATCTGTGAATAGCTTTGACATCCCAAAGTCTGCCACTTTAGGTTCAAGCTGATCATCTAACAGTATGTTTTGAGGCTTTACATCGCAGTGGAGCACCCACTCAAGGCACTCCTCGTGTAAATACGACAAACCCTTTGCAGTGCCTACCGCAATCTTGTATCTCTGCTCCAATCCTAGTTCCACATCTGAGAACAAGATTTTGTCCAATGATCCATTCTCAAGGTACTCATAGACGAGAAGCTTATGCTGATTGTCTGCGCAGAAACCCCACAGTTTAACCAAGTTTCGGTGATTGATATTCCCTATCACACTCACCTCTGCCCAAAACTCTGCATCTCCTTGCAAGACACCATCTAGTCTCTTCACAGCTACAACTCTTTCGTCATCTAGAACCCCTTTATACACGGTTCCAAAGCCTCCTTTTCCTATCTCCTGCTTGAAATTATTGGTTGCTTTTTTTAGTTCTACGTACGTGAAGCGCTTGAATCCCATGGCTAATGCTATGTAACCCATGTTCACAAATTCCTCTTTAGCCTGCTTTCGGAAGATGTACCACCATGTCAAGCCAATGCAGATTGCTTCAATTACCGCAAATGAGCTCACAAAACCAATCAGGTAATCCATGTACCGATTTTTATTGCCCTTTTCCACTTCAACATCACTACTTTGGAGAACAACTTGTGCCGCTGAACAGTTCAAATCGTATGTTACTGGCCCGTTTAGGACTTCATTGCTCAGAAAGCCTTTCGGAATTTTCATGTGCATGATTTGGAGAGTGTTTGGCATACTAAATCCGTTAAGGAGTAAACTTTTAGGGAAACAATGTCCAAGTCCATCCAGAGTATATCCGAACCCTTTACATCTTGTATCGTTTTGGCACGATTTCTGGCATTCTTGAAAAGAAACTTTAGGAGAATAAGTTTCCAAGTCATATCCATAGTAATCTGTGTTGGGAAGCTCCATGAATTCTGAATTGATCGAATCATGGCTCAAATTGAACACTGGCGAGCAGCCTTTCGACCCATCTGAAGGATCGTTTCTGGTGAAACCATGAGGGCAAGCACAAGTAGGTTGTGGTTTGTAAGTGCAAACACCGTATTCACCACACAAGCCGTGAACCAAGCACGCATCGACACCATCAGGCAACCATGACAGTTCCCAAAACCCGGATGACTCATTTAGACTGTACAACCTTAAGATGCCATCATAATCCATTGTTAAACGGCGTTTTGGACCAACCCCGTAATCAGATGCATTGAACATCAAATTGTCACTCGATATAAATTGTCCGGCCTCATCCAGAATTGCTAGTCTAGAACTATTGTAAGGTGTTCTACCACTCTCGAAAACAGTTACGGTCCGTCGTTGGCCAATAAACACTTGAAAGTAGAGCGCCATTGTATACGAGATATAGTACATTATTATCGTCAAATTTGAAGTTGTAAAATCCAGATAAGTATGTACCTTGACTTCTCATAGACACCAAGGTTGTGTTCTTGACAAATTTCTGTGACGGTAGAAGTGTATCCGTGGGAAAATCAAAACTCTGCCAGATGACCTTCTTTTCTTGGTTGAGCAGCACCAAGTTTCCGGTCTCAAGAAGCCGTGCTTCCAAGCCCGTGTTGGAGAAAGTGTTGGTTGACCATATAATCGATCCAACCCCATCAGTTAAGACCAGGTTGCCATTTCTGTGGAAGGTTAGCTTGGATCCAAACCACTGTTTTATCGGCTGACTTTGTGAACCATATTGAATAACAAGATGCATTGCTGCCAACGCGGTAAAATCCAGCAGAGAAAGTTCCGTTGGGCGAAACCAAGAAGTCACCTTCTTCCTCAACTGTCAAAGAGCTCCCCGGCCTTAGGCTTTGTAGCCCTATTAACCCTGCTTGACTCCGACCAACCGTGGCTGCAAACAGCGAAAGAACAAGAAGTTTGAGAACTTCCATGGCGGTTTTCGGAGAATGCTTCAGGGCTGTTGGAAATGGTCTTGTTCCAATCTGAACTGTTAGGTTGCCGTCTTGCCATTAAATAGAACGTTCGTCTCTTGGTTTTTTTTCTTTCTTTGGAATGGTATGCAGAATATTCTTCGATTATGCAATAAAAGTCAACTTATTACCGCAAATGTCTTTGCTTCTAGGCCTAACTACAATTATTTTCAAACTATTAATTCTTTTAATTCCATGAAATATTATAGTCTATTGAACGTGTTACGCAACTTGAATATTATTAAACCCAATTTATTCAAGTAGGAAATTGCAATCCGAATTCTTCCGAAGATGTTTTGCGCAATATGTGTAGTACAAAACATGCACAAATCCGAGACGTCGTTGATTTTTCTTTTGCGTTAGGTTAGTTTGACGCAGTATGTCCAGCCCTTTGCACCTAAATTTGAATCTCCTTTCGCGTAGATTAGAGTAGCATCGAGTAGTTCAGACTATCGCTCGTACACAAAAGAGTTATAAATGTGATAGCAATACTTATTTTTACCAAAGATTCAATCTTCACATTCTAACAAAGTTTCTATTACTATAACCATTGTAGGTATGTTGCTCTTATCTTCCCTCCACAGGAAATTCCAATCTCTACCATCTTTGCTGCTTGTTCCCTGCTGAACTGTCCATTCAGCTTTGAATCCATCATATCGTCGATCCACCGATCTTCCCCGCATTGAATTTTCCGCTTTGCTACCCTCACGAACTGGATAGTCAGCTCCGATTCTTGATCCTCAGTGTTCTCCAGTGCCCAACTGGATAGTCGAATGCCCTTCACCATCTCTAGAATCACCACTCCGTAACTATAGACATCCGCTTTCGCAGTGATTGGAAGGTTCAGAGCCAACTCGAGAGCCATAAATGATATATCCTTTCGTCCCTCGAATTTGAGAGAACATTGAGCCCAAAATCTGCAATATTCGGCTCAAAATTTCTGTCTTAAAGTATGTTTTCGGGCTTCATGTTGCAATGGATATCCATTCTAGGCACTTATGGTGAAGATAGGCTAAACCCTTTGCTATTCACATTGTAACTTTAAACCTTTCTTGCCATCCAAGGAAATTTGGGGGGAACTGGTGCTTGTCCAACGAGCCATTTTCGACGTGCTCAGAGACAAGGAGTTTGTGCTTATTATCGGGACAGAACCCCTAAATTCCCTCTAGGTTCATGCGATTGATTTTCCGAATCGTGCTAACCTCTGCCTAAAACACATCTTCCCCTTGATATATATCTTCAGTTTCTTCACAGCCACCACTCCTTCATCTGCCAGAACGCCCTTGTACTCAGCACCGGAGGTTCCTCTTCCAAGCTCTTCCTTGAAGTTTTTGGTTGCTTACGTGAGCTCAGCATAGCAAAACTTCTAAACTAACTTGAAATCACGTGATATCCATCTTCCATCGGAGCTCCTGCACAGTGCCTTCAAGATCGAAATGTCAGGACCATCGAACATGAGCTTCAAACCATTGTCATTGTCCAAATAGAAGCTGAAACAGCCAGTTCCAAAAGTGCTTTTTCCCAAAGTCAATATCAGCTTCTTGCTCTTTGTATAGGGTTGGTTTGGGAGGAGAGTTGAAGGTTTTGTAATGACTAATGATGTTTAATGAACATAGAAGTTTGGATTGAGTGCCATAAAATAGAACCACCAAAGTTGGTGGCCTGCAGGTTGTGGATTATCCTGCCGATTAGTCTCTTCTTATTCAATTCACTACGTCTCGGTTCAAACTTTTTTCCTCCCCTAGTGTAGTAACATTGGTGGGTTAAAGGTAAAGATTTTAACCCGAAAATTGTGTGTACGGGTTGACATTGACCTCCATTGCCTAAAGACGACAGCAAAGAGGAGACATCAATTTCCGGAAGGACCACATTCTGTCCTGGCAACCGGTGACTTTTATAGTCCGACCTACTATCCCCAACATTGATCGCCCAACTACTCACAACTCAGACAAGTCAACCAAAAAAGGGTTGGTGAGAGACTTACCTACACCCGCTACTGTACAGTAGCTGTACCCCAACCAAATAACGGAAGCTCATGTATCCAATTTTATCGCATAAGGACGCTATTGATTTGAGATACGGCCATAGTAGCACAACCCGCCCCCTCCTCTTTGGGTAGAATATCGCTTGTAACCTAATAAATATTTGATGTCCATTACAACAGGCACAAACAAAGAACACAAGGGGGTAAACGAATATGTACATTTTCATCATTCTTTAAATGACAGAAATGAAATAAATACATGTTACCTAATGAACTAAACATGTTCCACTAACTTCCCACATCCTTCAATCAAAGAATAGCTGTACAAACAAATTATTATACAGTGTACAGTCAATTGGGGCACGTAAAAAACTACACTTCCTAAGTTTTTCATTTCTAAGGCGGGCATTGTTGTTCCTCACCCTTCAAAATCGCCATCCGCTGAGACCTTGAGTAACCTTGCCTGTTATTAAGTATACCAATGTAATTTCGAAGCCTATACCGGTCAGAGTTTGTCAGGGAGAATGGCGGGTTGAGAATGAGCGATGGTGCTTCGACTAGAAGAAAGACCAAGAGGCGCACAGCTTTTGTATAGAACACTGCCGCACTTTCCATGTTACCCATTAGCTCATCAACCTACATATACGAGGAATACCAATTTACTTCCATCACTAGATTTCATAAGTTGATTCTCTGTTATAGAGTATGTAATGATCTGGCTTGAAGGTAATTTCGTGGATGATATACAGTTTGAATGATTTGGTTTTAAAAAGACAATGGTTTTTGGAGCCTTTCCAGCTAGTTTAATCTGTGTAAACAAAATTTAAAAGAGAAATGAATGGCATGTTTACAAATATGAGAATAGAGGAAAAAAAGATACTTACACCCCCAAGTTTCCCGAAAACCAGAGCAGATTGAAATATTGTCTCCATTGCATCTGGCATCTCTGCATGTCCTGTAACCATTAGAAAGTAAAACAGAAGATTATTAGAGAAGATTAACAAAAAAATTATGCTTTCATGTCAACTGAAGATATCAGGAAGAACCTAGCGTTCTTATTTAGCGAAACATGCATGCATAAATAAGACAAGAATGATGCAAAACTGGTTTCCAAATAACATCGATGAAATAGTTTCCACATTATAGGAGCAGAGAAACATTTGGTCTTACTGGTCGTAAGTACTTAACCAATGATGCATATGGCAAAACGAAAAAGGCTCCAGATGACATCTGAGAATTGAATGCATACCGGGCTCAATAGCCTTTGCAAGTTCCTCTGCATGCTCGACTTCTTGGAGAAATTCCCGCTCAATCTGAGAGGAAATATCTTCAGGTCCTTGAGTGTTAACATCAAGGCTTTCGTCCATATCAGGACTATTATACTTCTTGCTGGTGGTCCTAAATCTTGTAGTTTCTTGACTCGGACTTCCTTCCATAGCTGAGGCAGCCTGTGTATGGCATATATGAAGAGCTTGCTTCCAAATTGCAAGAATTACAAGCTGAATTGAGAATGCTTCTCGATGCTTCCCTGCCTGGGTCTTTTCCCACCATAAAAAGAAACACACAGAGATACCGTAATCAGTTAAAACAAATGGGAAATAGAAATAATAATCAGTGTATAGCAGAGAAAACCCATCATTCTGTATAGCAAATCAAGGGTCTAGTCTAGCTGCATCTGAAGCACATGCATGGAGGTACCAGTATCAACTCTTAGCACCAAAAGATTATATACGCTAATCTTAACAACAGTGCATTTTTCTGAATTTTTCAAATAAGGAACTTCTACATAGTTACTGATTTTCCAGAGGGAACCATAAGCAACTTCATACAGGTGGGCATCTCATGATTTACCTTTTCATGAACTAATTCAGTAATAGCAGACACACATTGCTGCAAGGAACTAAGCCTTGTCATGCAGTGTGTTGATGGCTGCTCCAACGCATCTCCCATATCCGTTGATCCTAGTGACGTCCCTGGAGCAGAACTCTGACTATCCAAGCTTCCTATGCAACACACGTTACTATTAGCAGCTGCACCCTTGATTGGCATTGGGGCACTTGATGAGGTGGCTAAAGATTCTCGAGGGAGACTCTGTGATTTGTATAAAGAAGGGCTTGGTTTGGAAGCACTAGCTGAGGAAGAAGACACATCAACTGAAGGTCCAGACACAAGAACATAATCTTGATCAATCAACTCCAGCGAATCCATAACTGCGAACGCAAATAAGATAATAGATGCATGTTGTATTAAGACATTTCTGGATGTAGATAACTAATAATGAAATTAGAAGAGTACAACAGAATCCTACCTCTTGATCGAGCATTCACTGGTTTTTGGTGCACAGATCTTAGAGGGTCAGTTAGATTTCTATCTAATGGTCTATGGCCGTCCAACCTAAGACTAGAATTTTCTTTACGTGTTGCACTGCCATATCTGTACAAAGTGGTAGGTGATGCTTCCCGTCTATCACCTTTTGTATCGAGAGAAAATCCATAAGTGTACTTCATCGAGGACCTCCTCCTTGAAAAGGATGGGCTCCCCTCAGGGCCACTGGAATCATCATCTAAATGGAAAGGCAGACAATCCTCTTGAGAACTTTCCTCCATGTTCGTCATTGCATTGCATTCAGATGTAGGAAGTCCATCCACCATTCTTGATGCCCTCCTACTCCTGCATGAAACCGAGAATCATATTAAATATGAGGAATATTTTTAGTCAAACACATGAAGACTGAACTATTTGCCTCATTTACCTTGAATATGGTGACTGTTGAGAAAGAAATGGGTGATCAAAGAACTCTTCAAATGTTAGGCGTTCCACTGTATACACAATAACAGAGAAAAACAATCAGAACTATGGGGTAATATTAGTTAAACAAATCAGGAGCTCAGCAGATTTCAATCATACTTCCATGCATGCATTCGTTCGTTCATCATTTTCCCTTTGTTTCTAGAATATATTGTATCACATATAAATCTGAGTTTCTTAAGATGCTTCCACATTACTTTAGTCTTCATCTGATGTTTGTTTTGGTCACCTTTTGAATCCTATTACCTTCTA